AAAACAACTTTTAGAAAATCCAACATATTTTACAAATAGATTCCACATCACAATATGTTGACGAATTACGTTGAAACCAGGGGCGTCATGCACCCATTATTTTCAAAGGGGCATGAAGTAGATGAGGATCGAGGGTGGTGGTACGAATTCTGAGAATTTTACACCGGAAACAGCTTTTTCCTACAATCTAGAGAAAAAAATCTCAATTTGTCTGTCATAGTTGACGTGTACCTATGATGAAAATTACAGGCCTCTCTCATCTTTTTAAGTGGGAGAACTTGCACAATTGGTGGCTGACTAAATACTTTTTTTCCCCACTGTATATACTCAGTGTACAAAACATTAGGAACTCCTGCTTTTTCCATGACATAGACTGACCAGGTGAATTCAGGTGAAAGCTATGATCCCTTATTGATGTCACTTGTTAAATCCACTTCAATCAGTGTAGATGAAGGGGAGGAGACAGGTTAAAGAAGGATTGTTAAGCCTTGAGACAATTGAGACATGGATTGTATATGTGTGCAATTCAGAGGGTGAATGGGCAAGACAAAATATTTAAGTGCCTTTGAACGGGGTATGGTAGTAGTTGCCAGGCGCACCGGTTTGTGTGTGTCAAGAACTTCAGCGCTGCTTAGTTTTTCACGCTCAACAGTTTCCCGTGTGTATCAAGAATGGTCCACCACCCAAAGGACATCCAGCCAACTAGACACAACTGGGGGAAGCATTGAAGTCAACATGAGCCAGCATCCCTGTGGAACGCTTTCGACATGCGAATTGAGTCCATGCGAATTGAGGCTGTGCAACTCAATATTAGGAAGGTGTTCCTAATGTTTTGTACACTCAGTGTAGGTTGTAATCTCATTGGTCAATGTCTCAATCAAATATTATCCAGTTGTCCACGTTGAAATGACGTGGTGTACCCAGGGGGTAGTAGTTTGGTAAACTATATTTTCAGAGTAGCTTTCCCAACAACAGGACAGGCCATGATGACCTAAGCCTCGCTGTCATTTCTCAGCATCCCCATTCTTTGTTTCCCTAAGTAATTTTGCTCCATTTAACAATTCCCCCTTGGCCACTTTCCTCAGTGCTAAGTGTTTTCCATACCAGAAGTGTCCAGATAAATTGATTTCCAGGACAACGGATTGAAAACATTGGGCACGGAGACTGTGAAAGAGAGTTCTTGGAAGCATCTGTTGACGGGGTGGTTGTGGCAGGATGAGGGGAGTTTTCCCCCCCCTTGAATAGGATAGTTTTGGTTGCCATAGATGTTTAGAAAAAATAGCCCTGCCTAGTCAATGAGACATAGCTTTGGAGCTGTATACCGTAACCGTACGCAATTGTTTTCTCAAATGGAAAAGCAATAAAATATATATTTTTTGGATACACATTGAGATTCATATTTGGTTGAAAATTACGATCTGAGGACCAAGGTGAGAAGGACTTGATTTAACCCGATGTTGAATACTTTGCTTTTGGCCAGTGCACTTATATTGACGGCTGCAGTGGATGCATCATTAACTGCAAAAGCACACAAATGAAGAAAAATCGTTTCCAGGCCTTTGAGTGAACACTTTTAAGTGAAATAGCTAGTGTTTTTAATGATTATTTTACTAAATAACTAGCCTAACAGCAGACAAAATGTTGACCAGGGAGGAATTGGTTGGACATAAATGACTGGACAGTAGTTCAACACATGTTAAATAAATAGTTTAAAAATAATAATAAAAAAAACATTTATGTATTTACAGATGAAGACCAATCATTTATAAGTTTGTTATTTATCTTCACGGTTTCTGCGTTCTTCATGTAGCACCTTCAAGACAAACCGCTACTTTTTAACCTGCTCTTGTAGCCCACCTGGACAACACTTTACTATTCCACAGCAGACAGCACCCATGACCGGCAGGACATGTATGATATGGACCCTCATACGATGGAGAAGGTAAAAACATACAACTATTACTATGTGCTTTTAGTGTTACAAAATGTCATTGTGATAATCTAATCCATTAATGGACAATTCCCTAAAGTGCCCCTTTAAATTGTCCTACTTAGAAAGTGTCAGAAATCTCACCTCCTCCCAGGGCATTGGAAAACCCTACTTATCTAGCAAACGGAGTGTCCAGCAGCATAAGAATAAATCACTGCAAAAGTCCATGAAAGCATGAAACAGTGGAACAGATAATGGGGATATGAAAAATGGAATTAGCAGGTATTTGGATACCTGTTCTGGATATTTTACTTGTCTTCAGCATTCTAAATACGGCATTATACAATTAGTTCTATATTTGTTTTACTTTTAAGTGATTACTTAAGTGATTACTTTCACCATATTCTGAATGTAGCAAGTTTTTTTTTTTTTTTTTTTTTGTCAGTGGTCTTATCTGATGAGTGAGGCAGGTGGATGGAAGCCTCGCCCATCAGGCCATCTCAGCAAACAGCCTAGCTGGAGAGCTCTAACTCGGTTAAATTAGCCGGCATAATCAGCTATGGAGAAGCACTTGGCACACGTTCAAGTTCCATCCATAAAAAAAGGACCTGACACAAATCAAACATGGATGGATTCCTCAAACAGCAGCATGCATATGCCTGTGTGTGTGTGTGTGTGTGTGTGTGTGCGTGTGTGTGAGTATGTGTGTGTATATGTTCAATCAAACTTTAATGATTTATTACTTATTACACAGGTTTATACTGTTAGAGAATAAAGAATGTTTGAATGAACTAAATTCAGACATTCTTAATTTGCAGTGCAAGGTTTGGCCAAATCTCTTAACAGTCTCCTGATAAGGTGAGATGTAGTGGACCCAGTGTGTGTCAACCTGTAGGTCAGGATAATTGTTGCATTTACTCTGAAACCAGGAGGTCAGGGCACCAAGGAAAGGGTCACCACTGCTATTTTTGGAGCAGTTTTTCACAATCTTTGGGTGATAAGCACAGGAGACCCATTATTGATTTTATAGGCCATTCAACTTTGCAGTGTGCTAAATTTAGATGCATATTTATCTAGTTAAATAAAGACAGACTTTGAATAACACAAAAGTACACTGCACCTACCAGTATCTGATCTGCCTCCACAATTACTCTGAAGGTATCTTAGTAGCTGTAGGTACATGTATACAGGCCTAAATCATGTGCATATTGAACCTAATGACATACAGTGAGGGAAAAAAGTATTTGATCCCCTGCTGATTTTGTACGTTTGCCCACTGACGAAGAAATTGGAGCCCCAGGCCGAGGGAGATTGACAGTTATTTTGTGTTTCTTCCATTTGCAAATAATCGCACCAACTGTTGTCACCTTCTCACCAAGCTACTTGGCGATGGTCTTGTAGCCCATTCCAGCCTTGTGTAGGTCTACAATCTTGTCCCTGACATCATCGGAGAGCTCTGGTCTTGACCATGGTGGAGAGTTTGGAATCTGATTGATTGATTGCTTCTGTGGACAGGTGTCTTTTATACAGGTAACAAGCTGAGATTAGGAGCATTCTCTTTAAGAGTGTGCTCCTAATCTCAGCTCGTTACCTGTATAAAAGACACCTGGGAGCCAGAAATCTTTCTGATTGAGAGGGGGTCAAATACTTATTTCCCTCATTAAAATGCAAATAATTTTTTTACATTTTTGACATGCGTTTTTCTGGATTTTGTTGTTGTTATTCTGTCTCTCACTGTTCAAATAAACCTACCATTAAAATTATAGACTGATCATGTCTTTGTCAGTGGGCAAACGTACAAAATCAGCAGGGGATCAAATACTTTTTTCCCTCACTGTAGGCTGCTGTTGAACCCAATGACATAGGCTGCTGTTGAACCCAATGACATAGGTCACATTTTTGCCACGTTTTCTAAGCAAAGACAATAATCTGCATTTCAACTATTTCTAGGTCAAATTATGTTATCTGTTCTACTAAACAAAAGTCAGGTCATCGCATAGATACAGAGTGGAAATGAACTTACTGGAATTACAAATTCTGTTGAAAACGAACAAAAATAGTTTAGCTATATGTATTTTCAGTGGTTTTTCGTTGAGATGTCTGAGGCGGTTTATTTTGTTTGCCTGCTTTTGGATTTGTCATTACCAGCCAGAATAAGAAGTCAAATTGGTAAAACAGTGAGAGATTGTTGGTCATCACTGCAATAATTTGCTGTTCAAATTGACCTGTGATGATAATAGAAAGCCACAATATACACTGAGTGTACAAAATATTAAGAACAACTTCCTTGATATTAAGTTACACCCCCTTTTGCCCTCAGAACAACCTCAATTCGTCGGGGCCTGGACTCTACAAGGTGTCGAAAGTGTTCCACAGGGATGCTGGCTCATGTTGACTCCAATGCTCCCCACAGTTGTGTCAAGTTGGCCAGATCCTTGATACACACGGGCCATTCTTGATAAACACAGGAAACTGTTGAGCGTGAAAAACCCAGCAGCATTGCAGTTCTTGACACACTCAAACTGGTGCGCCTGTCACCTACTACCATACCCCGTTCAAAGGCACTTAAATATTTTGTCTTGCCCATTCACCCTCTGAATGGCACACATACACAATCCATGTCTAAATTGTCTCAAGGCTTAAATATCCTTCTTTAACCTGTCTCCTCCCCTTCATCTCAGCTGACTGAAGTGGATTTAACAAGTGACATCAAAGAGGGATCAAAGCTTCCACCTGGATTCTCCTGGTCAGTCTATGTCATGGAAAGAGCAGGTGTTCCTAATGTTTTGTGCACTCAGTGTATAGCTCTCCTGAAATCAGGTCATAGATATAACATCTGACCACATGTCCTTGGCCAGATGGGATGAGGCATTAGGGTGTGGGCGTTTGTGTGTGTACAGAGGCCACCATCTTCTCCGGCCAGCCCCTTTAACCAGAGCATAAAAACAGCTGAGGTCCTCATTCAACTGTATTTACAGTCCACTGGCTCTGCATACACACACTCTCACACCAGACACACACTCACCATACACCTAGATACACACGAGAGTCATTTGTAAGACTGGAGAAGATGCCGTGTGTCAGCTCCTACACAGGCCAGATGGGGAAGATGCCTTGTAGCCTCAGCTCTGTGCTAGAGACAGCCCTCATGGTAAGACACACATTTCTGAAGAGTTTAGGTGAGAACTTCGTCTAGTTTTGGTCTCCAGTCTAAGTTTTAACGTCTGAATAGTTTACTTTAGGTTGAGTTACTTGAATTGATTAGGCTTTTCAAATAATTTGTACAGTCGTGGTCAAAAGTTTTGAGAATGACACAAATATTAATTTTCACAATGTCTGCTTCCTCAGTTTTTATGATGGCAATTTGCATATACTCCAGAATGTTATGAAGAGTGATCAGATGAATTGCAATTAATTGCAAAGTCCCTCTTTGCCATGAAAATGAACTTAATCCCCAAAAAACATTTCCACTGCATTTCAGCCCTGCCACAAAAGGACCAGCTGACATCATGTCAGTGATTCTCTCATTAACACAGGTGAGAGTGTTGACGAGGCTGGAGATCACTTTGTCATGCTGATTGAGTTAGAATAACAGACTGGAAGCTTTAAAAGGAGGGTGGTGCTTGAAATCATTGTTCTTCCTCTGTTAACCATGGTTACCTGCATGGAAACATGTGCTGTCATCATTGCTTTGCACAAAAAGGGCTTCACAGGCAAGGATATTGCTGCTAGTAAGATTGCACCTAAATCAACCATTTATCAGATCATCAAGAACTTCAAGGAGAGAGGTTCAATTGTTGTGAAGAAGGCTTCAGGGCGCCCAAGAAAGTCCAGCAAGCGCCAGGACGTCTCCTAAAGTTGATTCAGCTGTGGAATCGGGGCACCACCAGTGCAGAGCTTGCTCAGGAATGGCAGCAGGCAGGTGTGAGTGCATCTGCACGCACAGTGAGGCGAAGACTTTTGGAGGATGGCCTGGTGTCAAGAAGGGCAGCAAAGAAACCACTTCTCTCCAGGAAAAATATCAGGGACTGACTGATATTCTGCAAAAGGGACAGGGATTGGACTGCTGAGGACTGGGGTATAGTCATTTTCTCTGATGAATCCCCTTTCCGATTGTTTGGGGCAAAAAAGCTTGTCTGGAGAAGACAAGGTGAGCGCTACCATCAGTCCTGTGTCATGCCAACAGTAAAGCATCCTGAGACCATTCATGTGTGGGGTTGCTTCTCAGCCAAGGGAGTGGGCTCACTTCACTCACAATTTTGCCTAAGAACACAGCCATGAATAAAGAATGGTACCAACACATCCTCCGAGAGCAACTTCTCCCATCCATCCAAGAACAGTTTGGTAACGAACAATGCCTGTTCCAGCATGATGGAGCACCTTGCCATAAGGCAAAAGTGATAACTAAGTGGCTCGGGGAACAATACATCGAAATTTTGGGTCCATGGCCAGGAAACTCCCCAGACCTTAATCCCATTGAGAACTTGTGGTCAATCCTCAAGATGCTGGTGGACAAACAAAACCCCACAAATTCTGACAAACTCCAAGCATTGATTATGCAAGAATGGGCTGCCATCAGTCAGGATGTGGCCCAGAAGTTAATTGACAGCATGCCAGGGCGGATTGCAGAGGTCTCGAAAAAGAAGGGTCAACACTGCAAATATTGACTCTTTGCATAAACTTAATGTAATTGTCAATAAAAGCCTTTGACACTTATGGAATGCTTCTAATTATACTTCAGTATACCATAGTAACATCTGACAAAAATATCTAAAAACACTGAAGCAATAAACTTTGTGAAGACCAATACTTGTGTCATTCTCAAAACTTTTGACCACGACTGTACATTATTGCCTTAATAATGTTAGAATTTTACTTTCTACTCGACTATTATTACTCATACTATTCTGCATGAATGTTGTCTGAATTAACTCAAGTCTTCACACATAGACTGCCCCATGTTGTTTGAGAATAAATTATGGGTGAGAAGCTTCGTCAGATGTTCAGTTCACTACTTTGTCCTCTTTGAGAAATAGCCGGATGAAAATATGTGTATCTTGATGGTGACGTATTTCAGAGCAACCATCAAACAGGGCATACTGCAAATAGCAATTCTTTGACTTTTAACTTATTACATTTTTTCAAATTTTTTCAATGTTTGTGTTTCAGCAGGTCACATTTTAGATGAATAAAAATGTAGAGAGAAAGGGCTGAAGTGAAATATGAAATACATCTTCATTATCCCTTACTCTCCTTCACAACACTTTTTTTAAAAAATCACAATTTGCTTTATTGTGCTATAAATTATGTACTCCATCGTTTCCCAAACTAGGGGTCACGACCCCATGTGGAGTCACCTGATTTGAAAATGGGGTTGCGAGAGAAACTCAGAAATATATTTTTTTGAAATTGCGCTTCATTCATAGAACCAGGATTACGTCAGTAACCTCCGGTAGCCGCTAGATGCGGTTGTAATAAACAGAGCGGTTTCTGTTTTCTTCCTACAAATGTGGCTCTATCTTTTGAATGGTTTAAGTTACAAAATATATTATGACCCCATCACTGAAAGATAAGGAACACCTATGTGTCTTCTGTTTCCCTCTACAATACCCACAAGCCACGTAGGACTCATTAGAACAGAGTGGACAAGACCAGGCATTAAATCAGACTGGGGGAAAAAAGAACGTGATCAATGATAATGTTCTTTTCTACACAGAAGATCATACAACATTATTGCCTGATGATCTTTTGAACTTCCCAATACCTTTCTGATGCATTTCAGTCACTTCAAACCATACTTACTTCAGATTGAAATACTGTCAAAAGTACTGTCGGACTGATTTGTAATAGACTGTCATAGACTCAATTTAAAAAGTAAACATTGACCGTTGATTACATAACTTTTTTTACGTGGGCCAAAAAAGTTTGGGAACCCCTGCTGTACTCTATTTGTGACGTGTGCATGTAAAGTGTCCTTGGGCTTGTGAAATGCCACACCTGACGTTCCCTTGGGGGAATAATGTTATTCTATTCTATTCTAAAGGTATTTTATGAATGAGTCCTGCTCTGACCCTGTTCGTCCCTCCCTCCCCAGGTGGAACAGATTCTGTCGGAGTTCAGGCTGAAGAAGGAGCAGTTGAAGGAGGTGATGAAGAGGATGATGAGGGAGATGGACCGGGGACTGCGTGTAGAGACGCACCAGGAGTCCAGCGTCAAAATGCTGCCCACCTATGTCTACTCCACTCCTGAGGGATCAGGTAGAGGCATTTACCATATTTGGGTCGTTCCACAAAATGAGTGCCTTTTGCGTTCCTTTTATATTTTAAGTAGAAATTGTGCACCAATAATGAATTTTAAAAGCCTGTTATATTAAATGAAGTGCCCTTTAATATAGACTACTAGGAGAATTCAACTAATCTGAATTTCAATATGAAATAGAAGTCACACCCTCTCTGATTCTAGGAAGGTTTTAACCCACTTAACCACAACATTTCTTGAAGTTTTCACCATCATTGTAAAACCCAGTTATTTTGTTGCTTTGACAGTCATTTCTGAAGATTATTATTTATTTAATGTGATTAGTGATTAATTCACATCTGTCCGTCATTTTAAGGTCAACCCTGTTACGTGAAATGAACTTCTGTTTTAATATGGTGAAATCATTCCTTAAAAAAAATAATTATAGAGAAATATTTCACATCTAATAGTCAAATCATAGAGTAAAAAAAAAAGTGAGCTGGTTTTTAAAATGTTGGCAATTTTCTGGTGTCTTGTGGTGGAAAACTGAGCGGGTCGAGCATAACACGTCTACCCTGGTAGAGGCTTGAAATGTTTTAACAATTTCCCCTAAAAAGATAAGCTTGCATTCTACTGTCCCTCCCGGTTGCACACAACAAGCTTCCATTCCCCCTGTCACAAGGGGATTGTCACGATCGTCGTAGGGAATAGACCAAGGCGCAGCGTGATGAACGAACATGTTTAAACTTTATTATCTTTAGTGATAATAGACAAACAACAAAACAAGAAACGACTCGTGAAGTCCACGGTAACAATGACCAACACGGAACACAACCAACTAGAAACAAGAACCCACAAAACACAAAGGAAAAACCGACAGTTTAAATATGGCTCCCAATCAGAGACAACCAGCAAACAGCTGACACTCGTTGCCTCTGATTGGGAGTCACTCAGGCCAACATAGAAAATGACAAACTAGAACCCCCAACATAGAAATATAACACATAGAATAAACACACCCTGGCTCAACAAATAGAGTCCCAGAGCCAGGGTGTGACAGTACCCCCCCCTAAAGGCGCGGACTGCGACCGCGCCTCAATAAGAGCTAAACAGGGGAGGGCTGGGTGGGCATACCTCCTCGGCGGCGGTTCTGGCTCCGGCCTTGCCCACCACCCTCCAATCAACCCCCCATAGCGCCCCTGGTCCGGTCTAGCCCCGCTGGCCGGAGCCGGACTGACGACACGCACCCCTGGCTTGGTGCGTGGAGCAGGAACGGACCGGACCGGGCTGACGATGCGCACCCCTGGCTTGGTGCGTGGAGTAGCAACTGGCCGAACCGGGCTGACGATACACACCCCTGGCTTGGTGCGTGGAGCAGGAATGGACCGGACCGGGCTGACGATGCGCACCCCTGGCTTGGTGCGTGGAGTAGCAACTGGCCGGACCGGGCTGACGACTCGCACCCCTGGCTTTGTGCGTGGAGCCGGAACGGGCCTCACCGGACTGACGACTCGCACCCCTGGCTTGGTGCGTGGAGCCGGAACGGGCCTCACCGGACTGACGACTCGCACCCCTGGCTTGGTGCGTGGAGCCGGAACGGGCCTCACCGGACTGACGACTCGCACCCCTGGCTTGGTGCGTGGAGCCGGAACGGGCCTCACCGGACTGACGACTCGCACCCCTGGCTTGGTGCGTGGAGCAGCAACGGGCTTTTCCAGGTTGACGACTCGCACCCCTGGCTTGATGCGAGTAGCAGGAACGTTCTGGACCAGGCTGACGACTCGCACCCCTGGCTTGGTGCGAGTGGCAGGAACAGGCCGGGCCGGGCTGGCGACTCGCACCCCTGGCTTGGTGCGAGTGGCAGGAACAGGCCGGGCCGGGCTGGCGACGCGCACCGTAGGTTTGGCGCGAGTGGCAGGAACAGGCCGGGCCGGGCTGGCGACGCACACCGTAGGCTTGGTGCGAGTGGCAGGAACAGGCCGGGCCGGGCTGGCGACGCGCACCGTAGGTTTGGTGCGAGTAGCAGGAACAGGCCGGACCGGGCTGGCGACGCACCCCGTAGGCTTGGTGCGTGGAGCAGGGACAGGCCGGGCTGGGCTGGCGACGCACCCCGTAGGCTTGGTGCGTGGAGCAGGGACAGGCCGGGCTGGGCTGGCGACGCACCCCGTAGGCTTGGTGCGTGGAGCAGGGACAGGCCGGACCGGGCTGCCGACGCACACCATAGGCTTGGTGCGTGAAGCAGGAACAGGCCGGACCGGGCTGGCGACGCATACCGTAGGTTTGGTGCGAGGAGCAGGAACAGGCCGGACCGGGCTGGCGACGCGCACCGTACACTTGGTGCGAGGGGCTGGAACAGGCCGGACCGTACTGGGGACACACACCACTGGCTCTACCTCGGGATCTGGAACGGGCCGGACCGGACTGGTAACACACCCCAGTACCTCTCGCCGTGCCTCTACACCTTCCCTCCCTGCTTTGACCAGTGGCCCCCGTAACCTGGTGGCCTTCTGAATCCGCCCCTTTTCTGCCTCCGTCAGCCCCGTCGTCCATGCCGTGTGCCCCCCCCTAAAAATTTTTTGGGGTTGCCTCTCGACCGTCCAACGCTGACACTGCTTACGCCGTTGCTCCTCTCTCCGTCGCCTCTCAATTGTCTCACTCCATGGCCGGCGATCCATCCCGGCCAGGATCTCCTCCCAGGTCCAGGACCCCTGCCCGTCCAAAATCTGTTCCCACGTCCAGGCTGCCGATTCCTGGACACGCTGCTTGGTCCTGGTATGGTGGGTTCTTCGGTCACGATCGTCGTAGGGAATAGACCAAGGCGCAGCGTGTGGAACGAACATGTTTAAACTTTATTATCTTTAGCGATAATAGACAACCAACAAAACAAGAAACGACTCGTGAAGTCCACGGTAACAATGACCAACACGGAACACAACCAACTAGAAACAAGAACCCACAAAACACAAAGGAAAAACCGACAGTTTAAATATGGCTCCCAATCAGAGACAACCAGCAAACAGCTGACACTCGTTGCCTCTGATTGGGAGTCACTCAGGCCAACATAGAAAATGACAAACTAGAACCCCCAACATAGAAATATAACACATAGAATAAACACACCCTGGCTCAACAAATAGAGTCCCAGAGCCAGGGTGTGACAGGGATTTATGGCTGATTTAAGATGAAATCACCAACCCTGTTACAGTCAACCCTGTTACAGTCAACACTGTTACTTTATTTGGCTCTTTATAGGCACTTACTATAGTATTTTTTAAATTTAACTTCTTGAGATGGGAAAACATGTTTTTTATTAAGTTGAACATGTGCTGTTTATGACAGAATGTTAAAATTGAGTGAAATTAAAAGTTATTTTGGATCAAGTTACACTTCTCAAAAGGCACCGATTTGGTTCAACAACCCATTCATTCAATGCCTTCTTGTGAAATAACAATGTCAATTCATGATAGCTAGTCTATTTGTACTGAACGGTAATGAAGTCATGAGAGATGGCACATGAAATAACATTTTTATTTCTTATTAGATTTAGTTTACATTCAGTGTCTAGGGCATTTTGAAATACAGTGGGGAAAAAAAGTATTTAGTCAGCCACCAATTGTGCAAGTTCTCCCACTTAAAAAGATGAGAGAGGCCTGTAATTTTCATCATAGGTACACGTCAACTATGACAGACAAATTGAGAAAAATTTTCTCCAGAAAATCACATTGTAGGATTTTTTATTAATTTACTTGCAAATTATGGTGGAAAATAAGTATTTGGTCACCTACAAACAAGCAAGATTTCTGGCTCTCACAGACCTGTAACTTCTTCTTTAAGAGGCTCCTCTGTCCTCCACTCGTTACCTGTATTAATGGCACCTGTTTGAACTTGTTATCAGTATAAAAGACACCTGTCCACAACCTCAAACAGTCACACTCCAAACTCCACTATGGCCAAGACCAAAGAGCTGTCAAAGGACACCAGAAACAAAATTGTAGACCTGCACCAGGCTGGGAAGACTGAATCTGCAATAGGTAAGCAGCTTGGTTTGAAGAAATCAACTGTGGGAGCAATTATTAGGAAATGGAAGACATACAAGACCACTGATAATCTCCCTCGATCTGGGGCTCCACGCAAGATCTCACCCCGTGGGGTCAAAATGATCACAAGAACGGTGAGCAAAAATCCCAGAACCACACGGGGGGACCTAGTGAATGACCTGCAGAGAGCTGGGACCAAAGTAACAAAGCCTACCATCAGTAACACACTACGCCACCAGGGACTCAAATCCTGCAGTGCCAGACGTGTCCCCCTGCTTAAGCCAGTACATGTCCAGGCCCGTCTGAAGTTTGCTAGAGTACATTTGGATGATCCAGAAGAGGATTGGGAGAATGTCAGATGAAACCAAAATATAACTTTTTGGTAAAAACTCAACTCGTCGTGTTTGGAGGACAAAGAATGCTGAGTTGCATCCAAAGAACACATACCTACTGTGAAGCATGGGGGTGGAAACATCATGCTTTGGGGCTGTTTTTCTGCAAAGGGACCAGGACGACTGCGTGTAAAGGAAAGAATGAATGGGGCCATGTATCGTGAGATTTTGAGTGAAAACATCCTTTCATCAGCAAGGGCATTGAAGATGAAACGTGGCTGGGTCTTTCAGCATGACAATGATCCCAAACACACCGCCCGGGCAACGAATGAGTGGCTTCGTAAGAAGCATTTCAAGGTCCTGGAGTGGCCTAGCCAGTCTCCAGATCTCAACCCCATAGAAAATCTTTGGAGGGAGTTGATAGTCCGTGTTGCCCAGCGACAGCCCCAAAACATCACTGCTCTAGAGGAGATCTGCATGGAGGAATGGGCCAAAATACCAGCAACAGTGTGTGAAAACCTTGTGAAGACTTACAGAAAACGTTTGACCTGTGTCATTGCCAACAAAGGGTATATAACAAAGTATTGAGAAACTTTTGTTATTGACCAAATACTTATTTTCCACCATAATTTGCAAATAAATTCATTAAAAATCCTACAATGTGATTTTCTGGGTTTTTTTTCCTAATTTTGTCTGTCATAGTTGACGTGTACCTATGATGAAAATTACAGGCCTCTCTCATCTTTTTAAGTGGGAGAACTTGCACAATTGGTGGCTGACTAAATACTTTTTTTCCCCACTGTATGATATGCCACAATAAGATAAGATTGTATTCCAGAAACCCCTGGTTGTGTGAGTGTGTGTTTGATCCTATATGACACCCTTCTCTGTGTTGCGCTGTGTCAGAGGTGGGTGATTTCCTGGCCCTGGACCTGGGGGGGACTAACTTCCGTGTGATGTTGGTGAAGGTGGGGGAGGATGAGGAGAGGGGGTGGAAGGTGGAGACCAAACACCAGATGTACTCCATCCCTGAAGACGCAATGACAGGCACGGCTGAGATGGTGAGAGTGCAGCACTAGTGTACTTAGAAGTGTTCACTCAGAAGTGCACTGTGCTGACCAGTGTAATTAGTGTCCCATAAATGATGAGTGACCCACCACCCCCTCTTTCCATTTCTCCTTCTTCCTCTGTCTCTCCTTTTCCCTCCTCCCTCTCTCTTCTCAGCTCTTTGACTACATTGCAGAGTGTATATCAGACTTCCTGGACAGACACCACATCAAACACAGGAAGCTTCCTCTGGGTTTCACCTTCTCCTTCCCCGTACGACATGAGGACATAGACAAGGTATGACGTGGACTAAGTACAATATCCACACAGGTTTAGAGACTTCAGATTAGAGAGTTGACCTCAGTGACTATCTGATTCTCTGAGCTAGTGTCTGTCAGAGGAGGCTGGTGGGAGGAGATATTGGAGGATGGGCTCATTGTAATGGCTGGAATGGAAACCACACGTTTGACTCTGTTCCATTTATTAAATTCCAGCCATTAAAATGAGCCTGTCCTCCTATAGCTCTTCCCACCAGCCTCATCTGAGCCCTGCTACCAACCCTACACCTAACTCTAACCCTCTGTGTTTTCCTCCCAGGGCATCCTACTGAACTGGACCAAAGGGTTCAAGGCGTCTGGAGCCGAGGGTAACAACGTGGTGGGACTACTGAGAGATGCCATCAAGAGGAGAGGGGTAGGGTTTTTACTACAGGATAAGGATTCTATGTTTTACGATACACAGAATTATAGATATGTTATGATAGACATGCAATGAGACATTTGTAAAACATGCGTAGTAGATTAATGTAAATAGAGCCGTACTGAAATGTCCCTTTACTCTTCAGGACTTTGAGATGGACGTAGTTGCCATGGTGAACGATACAGTTGCTACCATGATATCTTGCTACTATGAGGACCGCAGCTGCGAAGTGGGAATGATAGTGGGTAAGGACGCACACACACACACACACACACACACACACACAGACATATACACACACACACACACACACATTGATTGCTCATCCACTAATCTCCTGTTACCTACCACCTTCTCTACCCCTCTTTAAAGCCAACTATGTTGGTGTTTGTCTGTAATACAACACACAAATCAAGTGTAATATGACCATTGTCCTGTCCCCAGGTACTGGGTGTAACGCATGCTACATGGAGGAGATGCGGACAGTGGAGCTGGTGGAGGGAGAAGAGGGGAGGATGTGTGTGAACACAGAGTGGGGGGCCTTCGGAGCCAACGGAGAGCTGGAGGAGTTTAGACTGGAGTATGACAGGGTGGTGGATGAGACATCACTCAACCCTGGACAACAACTGTGAGTTCTGGGGTTTAGTCAGAGAGCTGTCAGTCTCACAAAGAATCAACCAGGCCCTTCTAAGTTTAGGGGGTGTTCCAATCTCCACTGGTGATAAAACAACCTTTCATGGGCATAAAAGTGGCTAAAGAAATCGATTCTTGAAAGTAGTACCTACAGGTAATTGCCAAAATAAAGGAAACACCAACATAAAGTGTGTTCATAGGGTGTTGGTCCACCACGAGCCGCCAGAACAGTTTCAATGCTCCTTGGCATAGATTCTACAAGTGTCTGGAACTATTGGAGGGATACGACACCATTCTTCCATGAGAAATTCCATATTTTGGTGTTTTGTTGATGGTGGTGGAAAACGCTGTCTCAAGGCGCCACTCCATAATCTCACATAAGTGTTTAATTGGGTTGAGATCTGGTGACTGAGACACACACGCAGACACGCACACACGCGCACGCGTACGCGCACGCACACACACACACACACACACACACACACACACACACACACACACACACACACACACACACACACACACACACACACTTTAAACCCCCTATGCTCCTTTAAGACCCTTCTGTCAAAGTCACTGAGATCTCTTCTTCTAGCCATGGTAGCCAAAATAATGGGCAACTGGGCATTTCTATACATGACCCTAAGCATGATGGGATGTTTTAATTGCTTAATTAACTAAGGAACCACACCTGTGTGGAAGCACCTGCTTTCAATATACTTTGTATCCCTCATTTATTCAAGTGTTTCCTTTATTTTTACCTGTAGTTCCTCTTGTGCAGTATTAGCTGCATGTGTATCCAGATGTGTCCATTCTTAGAAGCTCAAAGTAAGTAAGAGTCCGAAGAGTTTCTGAGAGCTGCACATGTTTCTGTGACACAATGCATATGCAGCCTGAGGATGAGCACAGGTGGAAACGTGCCTCTCTCTCTCTCTCTCTCTCTCTCTCTCTCTCTCTCTCTCTCTCTCTCTCTCTCTCTCTCTCTCTCTCTCTCCCTCTCCCTCTCCCTCTCTCTCTCTCTCTCTCTCCCTCTCGCTGTCTCACCTGTCTACGACGCTCACCTGACTCTGACCTGCAGCCTGTGTGGTTGCTAGGTAACCCGGTTGTTTTCCCGGCCGTGGCCAGTGGCAGGCCCATATACGTCAGGGTCAGATTAATGAGCTCCTGTCCAGTGCTAGCTAATGTCAACCAGGCTAATGGCTGTTTACCGTCTGCTCTGACAGCCCCTTCACACAGGCAACCGATGAGCTGAGCCTCACTCACCCTAGCACTTTATCTCTCTCTCCGCTCACAGAGACAGAGAGATGGAGAGATCGCTCTCCTGCTTTGCAATCCTTCTCTTTCTTCAGCCTAGCTGGGAAATGAGGATGTCAGGGATATAGGTTCACGTGTTGTGTGACGCACGACTCTCTGTCTCTCTTTCTCCATCCACTTGCTCTGCCCTGCTGCTTCCCTCTACTCTCTCTTCTACCTCCCCCTCTGTCCACCTTCCTCTCAACCCTCGTTCTTTCCCTTCCTTTCCCCCCTCCCCTCCATCTGTCTGTAGCTATGAGAAGTTGATCAGTGGGAAGTACATGGGAGAGCTGGTGAGGCTGGTATTGTTGAAGCTGGTGAATGAAGAGCTGCTGTTTAACGGGGAAGCCTCTGACCTGCTGAAGACTCGCGGCAGCTTTGAGACGCGCTATGTCTCCCAGATAGAGAGGTGAGGGGTCACAACACAACCGTGAAATGAGAATAACAACTGTCAACACTATTACAATTACAGCAACACAGTCAGTGACTGTCTTCTGTCTTAGACAGTAAAGCTTCTCTCAGTAAGTCTTGGTTCATTAATAAGTGTTAAGTGTGTGTTCTCTCCCTGTGTGTTCCTCAGTGACTCTGGTGACAGGAAGCAGATCTACAACATCCTGTCCACGCTGGGCGTGTTGCCGTCGGAGATGGACTGTGACATAGTGCGTCTGGCATGTGAGAGCGTTTCCACGCGGGCAGCACACATGTGTGGAGCAGGGTTAGCCGCTGTCATCAATCGCATGAGAGAACGCCGCAGCCAGGAGGTGCTGAAGATCACCGTGGGCGTTGATGGCTCCGTCTACAAACTCCACCCCTGGTGAGGAGGGGGGAGGAAGATGCAGAGAGAGACAGAGAGGGTCACTAAGTCTGTAACATACGAATGATGCTAGTCATATCTAGTAAAAATGTCATTCATTTTATTCTAACCCTGATGTTGATCTCCCTCCACAGTTTCCAGGACAGGTTCCACAAAGTTGTGCGGGAGCTGACGCCTCACTGTGACATCACCTTCATCCAATCTGAGGAAGGGAGTGGTCGGGGGGCGGCACTTATCTCTGCAGTAGCCTGTAAGATGGCAGCGTGCATGCTGACACAGTGAGAGGGTCGTAACAGCCTCCCACCTATAGGGGGCGATGCAGGTGAACCAGGCTGAACTGACCTCCTATAGTAAATGACTAATCGTGAGAATCTCAATTGGTTTTGCTCAACTCGCATCCTCTCCTTCATCCTCTCCTCACCTCCTTTTGAGAAAGGTCAAAGGTAATCAAGGAGAGGAGGGGAGGAGAGGAAACATGGAAACAAATGCACTTGTATGAAATGAGACTGTCCTTCACTAGCGCGTCATCATACAAATGACGTTTACAGGGGTGTAAAGTAGTAAAAACGAATGTAGCTAGTTGTGCTAGACATTTTATAGATAAAACTACAAGTATTGTTTTGAAATATGTGCATGCTTTTCACCTCCAAGTGAACAACAGCTGATTCAAAGGGGGCAGATTTCAAAACTCTTCCGCGGAGGATGCACTTCAGTATCCTTCGCGAGAGGAAGCTATCGAAGTGAGGAGGACACTCCTCCATTCGCCTACAAACGAATTGACACTCTCCTTGACCACTCGACCACTTATCGGTTTCCAAGTCACCGAGGAGAGGAGGACGGAGGAGTCAAGGAGAGGACGGACTATTGTCCAATTAAGAATCCCCCCTCATCTAAGGTCACCCAACTCTGGCCTTTTCTCGAGGCTCTCGCAGAGTAAAGCCTCCCTCCTCATTGGTGAGAGAGGCAATATGTGTGTGGAGAACTCATTGTACTGACATATAACCCCACCACACAGCACACACAATATGGAAAACACAGAGGCATATTAAATCAGTATTTTCCCTAGTGTACAGTATTATACAGAATCTCTGAGTCTCTGTAAATTCCTTGGAGTGCCCACAATGCACAGGTGGTGTGTCACAGCAAGTACTGAACCCTTGTTATAACATGTTCTCAAGCAGGGGCGGTGTGTTCATTAGGGCGATATGGGCGACGCACTGCCAAACGGGAAAAGGAAGGGATTTTTTTTCTAATCAATTATATCACGGCAACAGTAGTTATCAGCGTTCTAATCTAGACGTCTGATCTGCCACTAAATGTCCAATCAGGCTAAAGTCGTGCTTCAAATGGCCCCGCCCCTTTTGGGGCGATTTCAGTCAGGTTGAAAATCGCCCCAGAAGTCTCTCATAGACTCTCATGTAAAATCTTTTTTTTTCAAATATCAGAGCTTTCAATACAATCTCTATGGGTTCCGGGAGGGCTTGCACTTACGCGCTTTCGTCATACGTAACATAACCATGAACGTAACTAAGAAAAGAGCGGGTAGCAGCGTCAATCAATTCACGTACTACTGTCAAGATGGCTAGCGTTCAGTGCAACTCGATTGTCTCTTTGAAAGAAGTTCCTTTTTGTCGGCGAACAAATCAAGATAAATTGGCAACGAAACAATTAGGACCTCCCAGACCAAATTTAATAATTCAACAGGTTTCTACTAGCGGGGGAAAGTCCTACACCCGAGGATTTTCCAAAAATTGGTACGAACGAAAAACCTGGCTAGCAGGCTGCGATGTAGCTAATGCAGTCTTCTGCTACCCCTGCTTACTCTTTCACCCTGAAGGCGGCACGGCAGACAGCACCGCTTGGACAGCGACTGGTGTAACGGACATGCACCATCTTTCAGAAAAGATTAAGAAACATGAGCTGTCAAAGACCCACATGGATAGCTGTTTGAGATTGTCTGCTTTGGGGAGAGTGAACATTGCCACTCAACTGGATGAGGGATACAGGCTAGCTGTCCGCCGCCACAACGATGAGGTTAGCAAGAACCGCCACATCCTCAGCCGGCTAATCCAGTGTGTGAAGTTTTGCGGAGTGTTTGAGTTAGCTTTGCGAGGCAAAGATGAAACTGAGGGCTCCACCAACCCTGGTATTTTTCTTGGACTTGTCAACTTTGTGGCACAATTAGATGAGGTGTTTTATGGAAATGCATATTGTTTATGCAGTGTTGAGGAATGTGAAAGAACACCCTTGATTATTTTTACTGTGATAACTTATTTTGCTTTTGTAAGCCAACACTTTTGAGATCAGTCAATAAATGCTTCTGGTATTGACTTATATGCTGCCCCTGTCTTCATGTTGTTGCTGGACATATCTTTTTTAAATTGTGTGTAGGTCACCTAAATCATCAGAAAAATTGCCCCCCCTGAGAATTTTTTCAGGAGCCGCCACTGTTCTCAAGCTACCACTGATTGCAGGTGTTTGAAGCCTGATTCATACTGTAATATAATGTTCATGTGAAAAGCAATGACATTGACTTATAACATCTGTATGTTTTTTAGTTTACTGATGTCCGTTAAATCCAGAGATGTTACCGTAGATACAGTAACTCAAAATTAAAGGATTATCAGTTTAAAATGTATTGCTGTTAATTCTTTCACATGATGAGCTCAGGTCTTAATTGCTAATATGTATATCTAAGAATGAGAATGTGCTTTGTACATGTGAAAATAATTGTTTGTTGTAAATAAAGTTGCTATAACATAACATTTTTTAATGTATTTTTTGTGTGTCTATCATCATAAAACATTTAGGCTTTTGCTGTACATGACCACATACTTTGGTGTCATAAAGAATGGTAAAGTTTCTGTTCAGCAAAGCCTAACTGTAGGTGAGTAACACACACAACCAGGCAAACACCCAACACAACTGAAAAAGGACAATAAACAACAGCCATACCAATGGGTAACATCTCAACTTTTCTTCGGGGGAGATTTTACTGACTATACTCACATTGCATAATTCCCACAATCCTCTAAATCCCACTTCCTCGCTTTCCATATCTGCCATCCGCGCTCTCTCACCGTATCTCTGCACATTCACCTCCCCCCCCCCCCCCCTCTCTCTCTCTCCCTTCTCTTCTCTCATCCTATCACCCCTCCTCCCCCTGCTCTCTCGCCCTATCTCCTTATTCCACCCCAGTGGAATCCTGGTCCTTGGGTCCTTATCGTGTTCCCATAGAGAGAGAGAGGTTAGAGATGGCCATGTAAGGGACTATGGTACCCACTGCAGGCCTATTATAGGATGGCAGAAGATAACATGGGTCATGCATATAAACCCTCCCCACCGATCACACATAGTCCTGGACCAAGAGAGACACTGCACCACACACAGACATGGTGAGTACAAAAATGACATTCTCCACATTGTTCATCGTTTGCCATCTGACTTTTCTGATGAGCAATATCTCTCTGTAACATTGATCTGGAATTTAGTTAATTGCTGTGATACAATATTAGAACAGTTTTTGACTATGTAGAGAGTAAATCTGGTGTTAGGTTTCTATTGTAACTGCTTTTACAGAGTCTAAAGCCCTTTTCTAGTATCCTACTATTTTCATTTCATTTCAATAGAAGTCCTTAGAAAGTAAATCGTGCTGATTTGAATTGAAGTCATACCGACTTTGGATGACCTTGGTCAAGTAAAGCTAGGATGTTTTACTGTAAGAAGAAGACTGTAAAATGTATGTGACATGTTTGACTTTATCAGTCATTATTATTTCACGTAGAATTCATGGTTTAATTATTTCATTTTGATGTAACTGCTTTTGTTTGACTACCTCTCTCCTCTCAATCTGGTCAGACTGAGTGACAGTAAAGATCATGTGTAACCGTCTGTCTATTTTGCCTGGTGTCTCAGGCAAGTAAGAAGGCTGCTAATAAGAGACAGAGGGGAGCCCAGAAGAGCTGCTCCAATGTCTTCTCCATGTTCGAACAGTCCCAGATACAGGAGTTCAAGGAGGTATAGTTACACTTTCACTGTCTAATTCATAAAAGTGCCATATTGGTGCAGTTTGGATTGCTGGTCCATAGACATTAGACATCAGAGGAAACTGCTCTAAATATAAAACATAAATACATTTGGATAATAATTATTTAAGGTGAAACAAAACAACAAAAAATCAATATTACTAACCAGTGGTGAAAAAAGTACTCAATTGTCATATTTGAGTAAAAGCAAAGATACATTAATAGAAAATGACTCAAGTGAAATTGAAAGTCACCCAGCAAAATACTACTTGAGTAAAAGTCTAAAAGGAGCTGGTTTTAAATGTACTTAAGTACATTAGTGCAAAAAGTATTTAATGTCCATACTTGAGTAAAAGTAAAAGTAAATGCTACACATCAAATTCCTTATATTAAGCAAAGGAGAAGGCAATATTTTTTTGATTTTTTTTTACGGACAGGCAAGGGCACACTCCAAAACTCAAACATAATTTACAAATGCAGTATTTGTGTTTATTGAGTCCGCCAGTTAAGAGGCGCTAGGGATGACAGTAAAGGTTACGTATGTAACCACAGTCATGTGAGCTATTGGATCACTCCAATATGGTATCCTTCCACGCGGCAGGATACATTCAGAGTAAGGATTTCAGATTGTGGTTCTCTGTAGCTCAGCTGGTAGAGCACGGCGCTTGTAACGCCAAGGTAGTGGGTTCGATCCCCGGGACCACCCATACACAAAAAAAAATGTATGCACGCATGACTGTAAGTCGCTTTGGATAAAAGCGTCTGCTAAATGGCATATTATATTATTATAGATTAGTCCCGTGTACCGGGTAGTGCTGACCACCCTTCTTCCACCTCTTGTCCTTTTCGAGGCGCCTTAGATCACCGGCAAATAGGATTGGAGTGATCCAGTAGCTCACATAACCATGGTTACATATGTAACCTTCGTCATGTAGCATTATATTGGATCACTCCAATATGGCATCACAATACCAGATTAATCAGTGAACTAGGTAAGGGCCAGACAGAGGGCAAAGTCCCGTAGGACTGAGGTCAGGGAAGCGGAGGCAACACCCAGCACAGCCGTCCCAACCTCATTGGTAGGGGCAACATTGACTCGATAGTACCTAGACAAGGTGGTAGACAATGCCCAACTGGCCGAGGCGCAAATGTCATTGAGGGGAACTCCTCGGAGCAGGGCCCACGATGTAGCTACTCCTCTAGTAGAATGCGCCACTACAGCAGACGGCAGAGGCCGGCTGGACTGCCGATATGCTT